AATGGAAAATGTGGCTGCAAGTTACCTTTTTTTGATCAGCTGCATGGGTGAGCACGCTTTTGTTAAAAGGGAGCCCTCACAGTATGACCCACAGTCTACGTAACCAAAGTATGCCATCAGTATTTTATGCAACCCTTTGTGGTTCAACTTCGTATGTTTGGTGTAGAACGGTTGTCCAGGATTGAGGCCACTCCCCCCCCCGCTTCCATTTGCAACATTGAATACAGTCGCTGATTTTACAACTTGCGGCAACGCTTTGAGCCTGTCACCGCACAACCCTATATCCTGCACGCCAGTCATAGACAAATCGCTTAAATAGTTCGGTTTTTTAGCGCAGGCAGCACTTGAGTGGTCATATCTTCGTCAAATTCGCGGCATTGTTTCTCTTACCTTACTTTTCTGTGATTTGCATAGTTTATATTGATTTATTTCCCTCCTTTACTTCCAGGAAATTGCCCACCTGGATCCAAGCCTTCAGACTTGACCGTTACATATCGGACAAGGCTACTCAAATAAACCTCTCTAATCTGGTTGAACTTATGCAGGATACCCGGCTCAGGTAATCACCCCGGCTCGTTAAAATATGCCCCCTTCCCTCGTTGCTCGAATTTTAACATTCTATGCGCTTCTGCTAGGAGTACTTGGATGTGCACTAAACACTGACAAGGACAAAGGATACTTATCGCCGTTTCTGACTTTTTAACGGTCGGTAACCAGCCATACCCCAAACCCATGTTTGGGTATCTCCTGAGGTTTACAGTTGGGCTATTAGTTCATCAAGCATTAAAACCAATGACTTACCATCAGACCACAGGCTTTTTGTTCTGTTGGTTAGTCTGATCTTCTACAGGCTTTGTGCTAAAATTCTTTGTCAGTCAAGACTCGGTTTCTTTCGATGAAACCTGCTTTCATTGGGAGAATTCTGTTACTAATCAAATGAACTTCCTTCTTCTCTTACCAACCGTATTACATGTGCACTCATCTCCTATTCACATCTGGGAATGAAGTTAATATTCTGACAGAAGGAGTTTCTGCAATTTGGCTCCTTAACAAGTTGAATGCATAAGTGGTCCGTGTTATGCCTGCTTAGATTTCTGATCTCAAGTTATATAAACTGCCATCACCGGTTGGCTTTGCTCATAAAAAACTTCATTTTCTGGCGTTTCAATGGTCTTTTTCATCTGTGCCTTATTTAGATTTGAAAATTGCTTGGCAAGGTCTCTAACATATTTTTTATGTACAACATTGGCTTACTTGCAACGATTATAATGCTCCGTGTACATCTTTTTTGAACCAAACATGTTTTGATTTTGAACACAGCTCCCGGCTGAGAGGACTCCTCATTGATTGCCGGCCCCCACGTTTCACCGGCTCCTTACCGAAGAGTGTGATTTTGAAAAGCAAGTTTTCTTAGCTCATCTTATTCCTCCTTAGTTCGTCCATTCCTCAAGCCACTGAATCCTTGTCAGCGTACGGCTGTTCTGTCCGTGCTCATGTCAAAGGACTACACCCTCGTGGAGGGCTTCCCTGGCTCAGGTAATTACTCAAGGAGGTTTGTGTGTACTTTTGCTTGTGCTTACAGTAGGATCCCGATTGCTTAATCTGCCGTTTTGCCGTTTCAACCTTCTAGGTAAGACAGAAACCATGGCATCTCTCATTAAATGTCTGGCCTGTCTGCATAAGAAGGCACTTTTGGTGTCCTTCACGCATTCAGCTGTCGACAACGTGCTTTCAAGGCTCACAGAGGTATGCCCATCAAAACAGTATTCCTTTTTTCGATTCTGAATTATAGTTTTCATTTGAAAAATCAATTTGGCAAACGTATGTTTTTCAGCAACTCTTCATCGAGCCAGTACATTTGCAGGGATAATTAAAATTGTACAGTTGGGCAGGGTTAATAAGTGTATTTTGATTACAACTCATCGTTTTTACGCCGCCCACATGCCGAGATCGGTCTGTAGAGGTCCTTGTGTTGGGGGAGGAGACGGTGGGAAATTGGGTTTAGCTTGTGGACATTGGTCAGGCGTCAGGTACATGAAGTGATAATTACTGTCAGTTGCGCGGAGCGGACGACTGTCACTAGGGGTGAGGGCGATGTGCGATCGCCAACTGGCGTCGGGGTCGGCCACGGAAGTAGAAATGCTTGTGTTAGCGTATTCTGACAGCACAGGACTGGATTTGCTATCCGTATAGCCACCGCTTCGGCTGTTGCAAGCATCCATTGATGTAGACCCTTGGGAATGTTAGCTGATGTCCGGTAGACAACCTGAAAGGCTTCATTAGTATCGACTCGATGATTCCTGTCGACAAGGTGTGCGAGAATGAAACTCAAGGCTGAAAAAATGTGTTTGCCAAATAAACTTATCGTTTTCAGTGTCCTGCCCCCCGCCTCTACATGTTTCACTCTTTTTTATGTTTAGGTATCCGGCGTACAAGCAAAATAATGTTTCACTCTTGTGTCGGTATTATGACGCCTTTTTTGCTTCACGTTCTGCCTGCGTGATATTTTAGGCCCCCATCAAAGTTGTGCGACTTGGAGCTACAGAGCGGGTGGCAGACACTGTGCGATCGTTCAGTCTTGAACAGAGTCTCGCCAACCACATTCGCCGTCTCACTGATAAGCCTGGCTCTCAACTTGTTCCGTCGCTGCAGTCAGCTATCGATTTTGTCCGTAAGACTGTTGAGTCCGCGGTAAGTTGCCTTCGAGTTTCCATTTTAGCCCCTTGCTTCACTCATACTTTTAAAATAGTTCATTTAAACACTCGCTTTCTTTTTCCTGGCTGATATCATTGTTAAGATAAAACGTTGCTTAGAGTTATTCGGTGTATGACCTCAATGAGCCCGTTTGAAAGCCCTTTATTTAGGTATGCAAAAATTGCCGATTTCACAGCTCCCGGTGGGTGGCCTCGTAACTCAGTTAGCTAGAGTGATGGCTGTACTAAAGCCTTCACCTTTGCTGACGTGGGTTCGAATCCCACCGAGGCCGCCGAGTTTGTCAAAAGTGGGTTACATGGAGTACTCAAATCTACCGAGCCTTCACTACTGATCTCCTGTTTTTTGTTGATCTACACTGATTTCTTGGAGCAAACTTCTCAACGCCAGTTCTGAAATTTGAATTCCAGCATAAGACGCGATTTTAGTACTTATACAGACATCGACTCTAGTGCTCGTATCGCCAAATCTGAGATATTGAATTTCAGGCTCTGGGTAATCATTCTTCATTTGATGCAGTATTATCGAATGTCCCAGCCTAGATCTAGCATCTTCATCAGTCTCTGTCTAATTTCCAGATGGGAACCGTTAAGCGACACAATGATACTCTTTGTAAGTACCTGTTACCAAACGCCTCAAGTAATTTCGCCCTACCTCACGCAGAGATCACACTGTTTAAGACTAAAGAGGGGTGACTTAAGCTCTAGCTGTCTACTCTGTGCCCTTTCTTTTCTGCCGAGCCGCGCGTTGAGGCCATAGAATACCGGGAATTTTATGCACAACCCTTTTGAGCTATTTACTTTCCCTAGCATTATGGGAACCTAGTCTGGACGGGATCCTCGACTGCCTTGAGATCATCTATGTTCAGAAGAAAGAACGAAGCCACTCTTCCCCCA